ATGTATTAAACAACTCCATTATACGCCAGGCGGTGGTGCACACGCATTTAATCCCAGCACTCAGGAGGCAGAGGCTGGCGGATCTCTGTGAGTTCAAGGCCAGACTGGTCTAGAGAGTGAGTTCCAGGGTAGCCAGGACAGTTCATGGAGAAACTTTGTCTCGAAAAACAAAAACAAAAACTCCACTATATATATCTGAAAAATTAAAATCACCTCAGTATGGAATTTGACCCTACTTATAATTCTTACAGTAGAAACATTTTTAATAATAACATAGGAGGGGCTGAAGAGATGGTTCAGCGGTTAAGAACACTGACTGCTCTTCCAGAGGTCCTGAGTTCTGTCCCAGCAACCACATGGTGGCTCACAACCATCTGTAATGTGATCTGGCACCCTCTTCTGGCCTGCAGATATACATGCAGACAGATTACTGTACACATAATAAATAAATAAATTTTAAAAAATAATAATAACATAGGAAAGGGCCAATTTTTGTGGCATAAACAATGCTAACCAATGAAGCATCCAGGCCTTTATTTAAACAAATACGACAGCTTCAACAGTAGTCTGGCTACTCAGAGCCCAGACTATGGAAAGAGATTGTCACTAAAGAACAATAAAGAACAAGCATTGTCAAATTATTATTATCTTCAGAGTCCTCTTCTGAAATACTATTTTTTGAAAAATGGAACTATTACTACCTATTTTTTCAAACTTTGTTTTTTTTTAGTATGCATGTTTGTAGCCTTGACTGTCGTGGAACTAGCTTTGTAGATCAAGTTAGCCTGCCTCTGCCTCCCAAGTGCTGGGATTAAAGATGTGTACCACCATCCAGCTCACACTGATTATTTTAATGAGGTAAATATAAATTGATTAGCATTCAGCCTTGTTCACTACTTAGTCAAGACACTGGGGAAAAAAATATAGCTTCATTTCTTGTGGGGGTTTATGGTAGTTGCTAACTAGTTTATAATTTATTGTTTTTAGACATGTGGTCTGTGGTTCAAGCTGACCTCCAAATCACTATGTGGGAGAGGATGTTCTCGAACTAATCCTACTGCTTCTATTTCCTAAGTGCTGGATTATAGGCTTTCACCACCATGACTGTATTTATGCTTTTTAGGCCCCAGCTTGCCTGAAATACCCTATGTGGCCCACACTAGCCTTGAACTCACAATCCTCCTTCATCAGCCTCCTGGGTGCAGAGATTATAAGGGCTCACCATCAGTCTGGGCTAAGGTATAACTTTATAATAAAAGTATTTAAAAAATAATAATGTGCTGGTGAGGAAGAATGTTGAACCATCCCTTATCTCAAATTCTACTATGCACACTGATAAACATAATACTACTAAGCAATTAACCCACCTGCAAGCAAAGGCGATCTCATTTCCATTACTCCTACTGAAGGGCCACTAATTGATCGAGGTTGTGGAGTCACTGGAGCTGGTAAATCCCCCATTAAAAATCCAGGTAAGAACTGGGCATTAACTCCTGTCTTTGGTGATGTCGGTGAACCCAGCATCATTGGTTCAGATCCTAAATTAATCAAAAAAAAATAAAAATAAAATAAAGTCATTTCTGCTATAATATCTAACAAATAGATATAGCAATTTATGATAAAAGTTGAATAATTTAACAAAAAAATCTTAAGTATTTTGAACTAGAGTTGAATTTATTTTAAAAGCTACTAAAGATTCTTTCAAAAAAGTAAAGCAATCTTGTATTCACAATATTAATCTTTCCTTCATTTTTACGATACTAGAGAGCCAGCTCGGGGCTTTGCCCATGCTACACCCACAGTGTTAATCTTTGGCAGATGTTCCTGGTTACATTACTTCACTGACTTAAAGCATCATTTGAAAACCTTAGCTTATTATTTTAAAAGAAATCTCTAATACAAGCAAAATAATTTTTTTCTACAGTTTCTACTGTGCAACCAAAACCAAGGAGAATACACCAAATTTATACAAATCTTGACAAATCAGAAGCAATGGGTTTCGTTTCTTCTTCCCTATACATAAAACAGTGAATTATTTCAGTATTAAAATGTAATCATGCACACAGTACAACATTAATAAAGTTATAACCTGCCTTTTAACTCAGAAATACATTGAAAAGAATTGTAAAATTTATTTTCAAATCATTTATCATTAGGAAAATCATTTGGAGAACTACAATCAACAAAAGTTTCCCTAACATAAAACCAATCTAACAAGAGAACACTTCATAATCATCAACTCAAAATCAATCTTCTAGGGTTGAAGAGTAGCCACAGTGGTTAAAAGCACTGCTCTTCCAGAGGACCCAGGTTTGATTCCCAACACCCACATGGTGGTTCACAAAACTCCAGCTCCATAAAATTCGATGCCCTCTGTGGCTTCTTCAGACACCAGGCACACATGTGGTACATAGACATAAATGCAAGCAAAACACTCATGCCCATAAAATGAAAACAAATACGTATTTTAAAAATTTAACCTTCTCAAATGGCAGCTATGGTTATTCCCATTATGAAAATAAGAAAACTCTGAATTTAAGAGTAAAATTAAGCCGTAAGAAAAGCACAGGCTACATAGAGATGTGAGTTCAGGTTCTCTTAGCAAAATGATTGTAAGGGTAGAATCCATTCACAGCTTTTATTAGAATAATAACAAGTATAACACTTGACCTGATAGTTAATATTCAATAAGTACTTAATACTAATTAGTCTACCAATATCTTATAATACCAAAACCTTAGTGAAGTGGTGATGTAGAATTTGCATTTCTGCTGAACACTTCATTTTCTTGCTTAGGTAGTAAACCTTTGTATGATTTATTGTATTGAAGAAGCCGGGTGTTTGATATTAATAGTTATATGGTTCTTACTAACTATTGCTTAACTTCTAAATAACCTAAATCCTTGTTTTCTGCTGTTCAAAAGCTTTCAATTACTTATTCTCCCCCCCCTTTTTTTTCATTATTGCAGATCTAGATATAACATAAGTTTAAAAAGTGGGAAAAAACCAAAGTAATTCATAAGGGTAAAATAAGTATCAAAATAAGATGTAAAGAAAAATAGCTTTATTGTAATTCTTTTGTGAAGTACTAATTACATGGTGCTACCACATATTTCAAAAGAACATTAAACTCAACAGTCAAAAAAGGCATATTCTGAAGAGATATTTAGAAAACTACAGTAACAAAATAAAAGGGTTTTGGAAACAACACAAACTACCTTCATTCTACCATCTATAAAGGGTAAGGGAAATTATGACAAGTGTAAGAATTAGGTCAAGGGCTGGTGATATGGGTAAAAGCCCTTGCCACTAAGTCTAAACTCAGTCTCCAGGGCACAGACACACACACACATACATACATACGCTTGCACATTATATAAAGAAAAATCTAATTAGGTCAAGAAAAGTTCAGTTCCCTGAATACATAGTGATAAAGTGGGAAGCCAGACTGTCACTAACCATCCCTTGATGGCTAGATTTAAAAGCTTTGTGGCTGCATCCTGAATGTCTTAAGTGTCACTTCTCAATCTCTGGCCCTAATTAAGTACTGCACTGTCTTACTCAGCAAGCAGTGTGTGATGAGTAGGGGCTGGGAAAATGTCATACCAGGAGATATCTGGAAAATGTGCAACATGTGAACCTGCACAATTAATATTGGGGAATGTCAGTCTTGGCTAGGCAATATACAAGGATGTGCTTAATTACAGTATTTATTAACCCAACAAACATGCACTCCAAAATGTCATTGAACAGAAAAACCTGGACCTAATAATGAAGTTTTCCGATCTCTAAATTAATATGAAAAAACCTAGATCAACACCGGGGCACAAGTTTAAGGTAACACTGTAACTACATTATTAACATTATAGGTTTAGCTTTACTGACACGCTGAAAGAAATCCAAATCAAGTTAGCTACTCTTTGTTGTTGTTATTTGTTTTTCAAGACAAGGTTTTTCTGTATGTAACTCTCTCTGTAGACCAGGCTGGCATCACAGAGATCCGCCTGCCTCTGCCTCCGAGTGCTGGAATTAAAAGGCGTTCGCCACCACCGCCCAGCCAAGTTAGCTATTCTTAAAAGAAACTTTTTCTGCCGGGCGGTGGTGGCTCACGCCTTTAATCCCCGCACTTGGGAGGCAGAGCCAGGATGATCTCTGTGAGTTCGAGCCAGCCTGGTCTACAGAGCTAGATCCAGGACAGACACCACAACAACACAGAGAAACCCTGTCTCAAAAGAAACTTTTTCCCAAAACACGGCAAGCATTACAAGCCATTTGAATCTACAAAGTTAATTCTGCACAATATATGCCATGCTTGCTCTCTTTTCCAAGCTCAGAAAGTTAGAAACTAATATTCTGGTAAGTTTATTCAACTGTAGACTGGTTGTTTTTGTTTTCGATTGTAACATATGGCCGTTGTCATTACTCACAAAAATCGGCGTTAATTAATTCGCTAGATTTTCTTTTCCAAAGACGGCACGTTCGGAAAGTTTCCCCGACAAACAATGGGCATGAATCTTCAGACTAAATAGTCCTCCAATAGAGCCACATTCCCAAGCAAAGGGCGGGGGAGGAGCGGGGAGCCAGGTTGGGTCTAGGTCATGCTTTCATATACAAACTCCTTTAGCGAAGGACACAGACACCCAGGGGGCTCGGCGGCAGCGGGTTAACACGCCGCCCCGGGGGTCACCGCCCACCCACGTGCATGCTTTCCGGGTGCGGGGCAGGTGCCCACACTGGGGCCGGGCGCAGCGCAGGGCTCCCGGGTACCCAGATGTCACCGAGCACAGCGCTTCCCTCTCCCTCCGTGGCGTGCGACGGCCGCCTCTCGGTCCACAACGGGCTGGCTGTGCCCCTGGGGAGGCTGCGGTTCACTTACCCAGTGTGGGCGCCTGGGGATCCACGGCAAACGCTGCCATCGCAACGGCCGCCACTACTCCGGCAAGGACCTTCCCAGTTTTCAAAAATGGCGGAAACTCTCCCCACGGTTAAGGCCGCGCGGCCTTATGGGTTGCGTAACTTCCGACCATGCGCTCTGCGGAGGCTGTGGGTGCTTCGGCCATTTTGGAAGAGGGCAAACTTCTTTGCCTGGTCTGCGAGTCTAAGAAAGGTTTTACTGGGGATGCATGCAACAGTGTGAGACCTCTGGTTCTGAGAATGGCATTGGTTCACGCCTCAAGCCTCCTGATATGTTGGTGTTCGTGCTTCATAGGAACAGATTCCTTTGCTCACTTGATTATTAATGTGAGTTTCCCCAGTACACTGTCTTCCATCGACTTTCCTAACACCTGAGAAAATAGGCTTAATGAAACTGTATATTCCTTTTTCTCAACAACTTCATTTCTGCACTTGATAGAGGACGTTCATTTCTCAAAGTTTTCTGCCATCTATATCATTTCTCTTAAATGTTGTGTTATGTAGGCACAAGTTCATATTAAAGCATAATCAACTTATTGTGTATTAATACATACAAAAGAATATAGATAAAAAATATGTAAATAAAGGTCATTCTGCTCGTGACATTCCTGTCCTCCCCTCTAAACTCTGCTGTTTTACCCTTAGGGTATATTCATGTATTAATCACACACATCTACATAGGATGTATATGTTAAAATACGTTTAGTTTCACTGTTTGCAAACTTAATTTAAAAATATGCTTCATGTTCTATATTCTGGAATGTGCTCTGGGCCTTTCCCAACCTTTCCAAAATATTGACATATCTTTTGCTAGTTCTTTCCAAGCTTTCTAAAATCCTAAATCCAGGAGGACTTTTGTTACTGGAGTGAAGTAATAATGTTGTGGTGTTCAAATCCACTGGGAAAGACCAAAGACTTAGACTCAATTCAAATTTGGATTAAATGGATATATTCTTACTGCTAGCAGAAGGATGACAGCCTTAGAACCAAAAAGCAGCGGGGCCAAAGGGGGCTAAAGGAAGGATTTATAAAGGTGGACATTACAATTATCTATGCTTTATGGAATCCACAGCTGGTGAGAAAACTGCTTTATTCCTCTCGGTTGTTTCTCTTTCAGAGACTGGCTGATCCCAGTCCCACAGCGACAAGTGGGTTTACAAAATCGAGAGCAAGCGGTTAATTATCTCATAGCAGTAACATCTCCAGGCTACTAGGATCTCACAGGCATTTCAGGGAAAAGGTCAACAGCCCTTGAGGGGTGTCTGCTACCGTGTTAAGTTTCTTAGCCATCACAGGGGAATCATGTATAAATCATGACACAGGTCCAACCACTCTGGGGAAAGTGTCACTAATGACTGGGATAAAGTGGTTTCTTCCTGGGCAGGCAATAACACAGTGCTATCAGGTTAGGGCTGGCTGTCACATCTCCACAATAGCAATTCCAAAATTCTATTTTGTTGTTTTTGTTTTTGTTTTTGTTTCTGAGTCTGGGTAACTTAACTCAGGATGATATTTTCTAGTTCCATCCATTTGCCTGCAAATTTCATGCTGTCATTGTTTTTCTCTGCTGAGTAGTACTCCATTGTGTATATGTACCACATTTTCTTAATCCATTCTTCAGTTGATGGGCATCTAGGTTGTTTCCACATTCTGGCTATTATGAATAGTGCTGCTATGAACATAGTTGAGCATGTATCTTTGTGGTATGATTGAGCATTCCTTGGGTATATGCCCAAGAGTGGTATGGCTGGGTCTTGAGATAGATCAATTCCCAATTTTCTGAGAAACCGCCATACTGATTTCCACAGTGGTTGTACAAGTTTGCACTCCCACCAACAGTGGAGGAGTGTTCCCTTTGCTCCGCATCCTCTCCAACACAGACTGTCATTAGTGTTTTTGATCTGTCAGATGTGGGTTGGTGAAGGTCTTTTCCCATTCTGTACGCTGTCTTTTTGTCTTATTGATCGTGTCTTTTGCCCTACAAAAGCTTCTCAGTTTCAAGAGGTCCCATTTACTAATTGTTGTTCTCAGTGTCTGTGCTACTGGTGTTATATTTAGGAAGTGATCTCCTGTGCCAATGCATTCAAGAGTACTTCCTACTTTCTCTTCTATCAAGTTCAGTGTAACTGGATTTATGTTGAGGTCTTTGATCCACTTGGACATTGTTTTGTATGTACAAAAAGAGGGTGGGGAGAGGAGAGAGGCTTAAATAAAGGCAAAAGCCGGCAAAGATTTTCAAAAAAATTAGCAGCAGAAAGTAGGAAAGAGAGTTGGAAACTGAAGGATTTAAGAAGGGTTTATAAGCGGGGTGGTGGTGGTGCACACCTTTAATCCTAGCACGCAGAAGGCAGAGGCAGGCGGATCTCTGTGAGTTCAAGGCCAGCCTGTTCTACAGAGGAAGTTCCAAGACAGCCAGAGCTGTTACACAAAGAAACCCTGTCTCGAAAACAAAAACAAAAGCAAAAACAAAAAAGAAGAAGGGCTTATAGATTATACTTCATATAATGTTTATGTTGGTAACAGATTTTAATTACTGTTTTCATTACATTTTAAACCTGTTTTCCTTGGATTTTAGTCTTTACCCTTCCAACTGGCTCTTTTCTGATCAAGACATAAAGATCTGGTGTGCCTCATCTCAAAAGTCTCTCAACTGATGCTACTTCCAGCCCCTGCACCCTCATCTCTCCCTCATATCAGAAGTCTCCCCGCTTTAACAGATCTTCTAGCTGCCTGTCTCCAACAACCTTTTGTTCTTTTAATGCTACATTTCCTAGGTCTCATAACTTTCTATCCTTTGCCTTTCTTTTCAGTAGCTGATCCCATTTAATTATAGTCTGGAAATACCAACAAAGACTCCCTGGTCAAGCCTTTTTTCCTCTCCTTTAAACTCTCAGTCGTATCCCTTGAAGTCTTTATCAGTTTTCATACTCTGTACATAATTTCCAGTACTATGTGTGCCCATTGTCCACAAAGGCAAGTGCCACTTTTCAGATGCTTGCTTGACAACCTGTCACCCTGTTAGTACATCAGCCCCAGTGTTTCTACTTAAAGTCCTTGGAAATTGAAACAATACCATGATGCTTAATGCATGCCCGGTCATCTTTGCTTCCATTGATCTCTACCTTTTCTGCCATCATGTGTTAAAATAGCAAGTCCTCTTCATTCTGCCTCAGCTTCTAGACAATTGCACCCAAGTCTTTCTACTCCTTTGCTTTCAGTCTTTTCCACTGAGCCCAGCAGACCACTAGCCAAAGTTCCCTTCTTTATACATACTGTCTGGGTGTTCAAAAACCTTCGCTGGGGGATAGGAATGTAGTTAAGTCTGGGTTTCATCTCTAACACCCAAGGGAAATAAAAATCTCACTGGCTTCCTTTACCAATAGGAACCTCCTTTGCTTCAGCTTTGGTTCCCATGTGTGTGGGGACTCATAGAGGCTCTCGATTAAGGCCTTCCTCAAGGTCAGAATCTGAGCTTGCTTTACCCAGCAGGGCTGCAAAATGGGATGAATTGATCATGGGCATGGTTACCAGGTATTTGGAAGGGTCTACACTTGGCTGTACAATGTGCTTTGATCTTGCAAGGGGGAGGTCTTTTGCCTCTCCCCTTGGCATTGTTATAAAAAGCCATTTTGAATAAATGAAGGGGACTGAGTATTGACCCAAGGCCCTCCCAAAGCTATCCTGTGTCTCTGTCTTTCTCCTCATTGTCTAGGTCTATCTTTCTGATATTTTCTCATTCCTCTCTCCTCTACCCAAGAACCCTTTGAAAGGTCCAGGCTGGTCCTCCCACAGACACCCCCACATACGTGAAACATATATTACAACTAAGAATATCCCAATATCCTTTGTTTTGTGTATACATTCTCATCTGGGTAGCACAGGAAGGAAATTTTTAATATCTCAGAGTGGGAGAATAGAAGAACATCTTTAATTTAGAGATTTCAGTAGGCATCCTTGGAAGCACTTAACTGGGAATAGGGAATGGTCTCTGTGGGTTAAACACCTGACATGCAAGCCAGAGGACCTGAGTTTGGATCCCCAGACCCAGGTAAATCCTGGCACATAGTAGCACATGTCTTTAACCCCAGCACTCTTACAGTGAGATGGGAAAATCTCCAGAAGTTCTTGGGTCAGCTAACCTTATATGTGCAGCCACAAATATGAGATTCTTATCTCAAATAAGGTGAAAACCAAGACACAAGACTATTCTCTTACCTCCACATGTGTGCCATGGCATGTACACCTATACTCACACAAACTTACTGCCCCAAAATCATGAATGCAAAGTTCACTATTTACTGCATACCTGGGTGGACAACAAAAAGCTCAGCCTGGAGATTAAGTAGGTTAAAAATACCAGCTTCAAAAACAAATCCTTCACCTTCTCGCCATAATTTCCAATTTTTTCTTTTCTCGAGGCAGGGTTTCTCTGTGTAGCAAGTCCTGGCTGTCTTTGTAGACCAAGCTGGCCTTGAACTCACAGAGATCTGCCTGCCTCTGTTTCCTCTGGGATTAAAGGCATGTGCCACCACCTCCCAGCTTCCAACATATTCTTCAACAGTCTACACACCTTCATCCTCTTCTGAACAGGTCTTCACATTATGAGCCTTGCTTGCAACAGTCTGCCTGCCTAACATACCTTCACTTTCTATCCCAATCTACAGTGATCCTGCCCTTCATTCAGCTAAGCCTTCATCTGAGACCTCCAACATTCCAGCATGGGTCACCCTATTTCAGAACGTCCAATGTGCATGAGGACTACAACTCATGTGCCAGAAGATGCTTGTTTTGAAGGTTTTATTTTTAGTCTCACAACATGGATTTTCTTTAGAACAAGGGCCATTGTCTTTTCTTTCTTATTTTCATTTTATCAGTAAATAGATGAACAAATTAATTACAAATTAAAATAAATATTGAACAAAAAATAATTGTCTGACATAACTTATTTGACGCAATTTTGCATGTTTGAAGATTTTCTCAATCATAATCATAAGAACCTTAGTTCTATTGGAAGTGCTTATAATCATAAACAAAGACTTGTTTTCAGTTCTGTTTATCGCTTTTGTTGTATAATGAGAGTTTCGAAACTTGGATTATCTTCTGTGAGAAACACGTGTTCATTTTTTTATGCTTCTTGTCACTCTTTGGAGGTGTTTTGTATTTGCCACAAGCCTGTGTTTATTACATTAGCATCTTAATCAGAAGGCCTGTCTTTCTATTTTCTCCTCTGAACCTGTTGAATAAAATGTCACGTGGGCTTCCCCCATGTCTATTCTGAATTTCTAATTTACCCAGGACTCGAGATCTCATCAATGTGCTGCTTTGTATTCTGCTGATTTTTCAAGCTTAGATGGAGAACTCTTTCTTTAAAGCACGGTGCACATGTCTGAGCAACACAAGAATCCTGATCTAGCTATGGAAAAATACAGAAAAAGTTCAAGCTAGACCAATCCAAGGCTCTGGCCCACTTGCCTGTCACTTAACAGTACAGGAAACACAGGTCGGAATTTTGATCTATGAAGAATTCAACCTGAAAATTAATTCAGGGCTGGACATATTTGAACTTTCTTCTAAACTAAAACAAATTGTGAAAATTCAGAAACACACCTCGGAATTTATTTACCTTTAATGAAATGACACAGCCACAGTCAAACTTTTGTGTATCTATCATATATACTAATAATTCATCGGTTTAATTAAATCGCTATTAACACAGATATATACAAATATAAAATCAATCTTGTGCTTTTAAGATAACTTTGCCTATTCTGTAAAAATGTAGTTTTTAAAAATCAAGGAGGGGCTAGAGAGATGGCTTAGTGGTTAAGAACATGTACTGCTCTTCAAAAGGACCAGAGTTCAATTCCCAGCACCCATACCACACCCAGCTCATAGCCACCTATAACTCCAGCTCCAGGGGAATCAGAGGCCAGAGGCACTTGCAGTCACACACACTTACGCACACACAGACATGCACATACATAGAATTAAAAATAATTTTTAAATTAAAAATCGAAGTGAAGAGAAAAGATATCCACCTTTTGTAAGACTTTGGAAAACAGATGGAATTTGTCTTCTTCGGACAGAGAGCCAAGGGAGGAAACATCATGCCTGTGTTATCATCTCTGCCTTTTGGCTGAGATGATATATCCCAGGCTGTCATTCACTTAGACTGTGACGTCACATAAATCATCCACATGACTTCACAGCAGGCCAGGCCAAATGATCTCCAAAACAGCTTCATGTTTTAAAGTGTATCCTCTCAACAAAAATACACACCTACAGTTGGTACTGCGTTTTTTGAGCCCTAAAAACAATAACAGCATCTGTATCTCTAAATGTCTTTAAATAATAATACACAGAAACATGAGGGTTTGCTGATGAACTCATTACAGGGAACACCTGACAGAGAGGGCACAGCCAGACATCGAATGAAACATGAACTAGGCCAATTTGCCTGTTCGTTTTTAACCAACTAAATGTATCCAGTAATTTCCAAACTTAAGTAACTTTCATGTGAAAATCTGTTTCCTGGTCCTGTATTCAAATACCAGTTAGGTTTAATCAGATATTATAAAGGTTCAGGGAAGTTACAGCCGTCAGAAGAGACAGCTTCCGGGGTTGGGGGTTGGTCTTGATTCCTGAAAGAATGATGTCTGGAATTTACCTTGAGATGACATGTTCAGGGGGGAATTGAGAGAACTGACAGTAAACATGACTGCTGCTAAAAAGGATGCTGTTTTCTATAACTCTGTTTGAGATTTTCTCTACATCATTTTTTTTTTAAACAGAAACAAGCCTAGGGGCTGGAGAGATGGCTCAGAGATAGAAGTACTGGCTGCTCTTCCAGAGGTCCTGAGTTCAATTCCCAGCAACCACATGGTGGCTCACAAGCATCTGTAATGAGATATGGCAATCTCTTCTGGTCTGCAGGCACACATGCAGACAGAACACTGTACATAGTAAATAAATAAATCTTTAAAAAAGAAAGAAACAAACAAACAAACAAACAAGCCTAGCTGGGCAGCGGTCCCTTTCATCTCGGCACTTGGGAGGCAGAGGCAGGCAGATGGGTATGTATGAGTTCCAGGCCAGCCTGGTCTACACAGCAAGTTCCAGGACAGCCAAGGGTGTTACACAGAGAAACCTTCTCTCAAAAACCAGCCAACCAACCAAACAAACAAAGATAAACAAGCCCAAATACTAAGATATTCAAAAGTCATATGTTTTGGTCTCCACTTATGTGAAAACTATTAGTGAAAAATCAATGAAGCCATTATTCTTTGCCTGATGATTATTTTTATTTAATGAATAAGTATTTTGTTGAGGACTGGTGCAATGCTCTTGACTTTGAATACTTAATAATTATGGGGCACTGGTAACTCTAGAGTTTAGTTGATTCATCTGAATTGTAGAAAGTTTAACATCAGCCTTTTATGTTATACACTGGTTTATTCACCCCAAAGTAGATACATGTTATTGCCTTATCAGTAATTGGGCATATCATATAGTATTTAATAAACAAATCTGGCTTCTCTCATTACTTAGTCTACCAAACTGATCTTTCCAAGGTTAACAATAACCTCCATGATGCTAAGCCCAGATGCCTTTGGTACATGTTTATTGTATGTATTTTCTCAGCATCATTGGTTGCATCTTATTTATCATGCACTTTGAAGCTTTCCTTAGTTCCTTTGACAGTGTGCTCTGGTTGCTCTCTTCTCTCTTTAGCCATATCTCCTTTCTTGGCTCACCCTCCACCCAGCCTTTATATGTGGTTGTTCTCTAAAACCCAATTTTATGGCCTTAGTTTTACTCTAAGCTCTTTGTGTGGTGCTATCCATTTCCCCTGCAAATTCATACCAATAACCAGATGCCCCATCAAGTTCCCCTCCTGACATACCCATTGACTTGGATATCTCAAGGACACCTCAAACCAAATATAAAAGGCCAACTTAAGAGTGAATATTTATTCCAAAGAATGGCATCACCAGCTCTCTAATTATTAAAGCTGGAAGCCTTGGGATGATTTTGAAAACTCTTCTTTTCTTTTTGAAAACTCCTCTTTTCAATAAAATTCAATGCCAAAGTTTATAAGACCTAGTCTCTAAATATTTTCCAAAAAATACCCACCTGTTTCCTTTTTATAAGATTCACTTTATTATTTTAATTACGTGTAGGTATATGTGTTTGCATGTGGGTATGTGCATGTGGGTGTAGGCGTCTGCAGCAGCCAAAGGTGTCACACATCCTGGAGCTGGAGCTGCAGTTACAGACGCTTGTGAGCTACCTGATGTTTGTGCTGGGAACCGAACTCTGGTCCTCTGACACAACAATAGGTGCCCTTAACCACTGAGCCATCTCTCTAGCTTCCACTTCTTTCCCTCTTGACTGCATCAGCTACATCTAGTTTCACCACCTGAAACCTGGACCTAACCTTCTGACTTGCCTTGCTTTTCCTCCCAACTCACTCTCTGCTATACAAGCAGACTGACGCTTTAAAACGACATTGTGCAGATCAGAGATCTAGCTCCGTTGTTGGAGTGCCTGCCTCGCACGCACGAAAACCAGCACCAACCACATAAACCAGCTTTGGTGGCCGGCGGCTTGTCACTGCAGCACTTGGGAGCTGATGGAAAGGGAACCAGAAGTTAAAGGCCATCCTCAGTTCGATGGCAAGTTGGAGGCCACCTGCTAAATTTGAGACCCTGTCTCAAATAAATGAACGATCATTCTTGAGGCTGGAGAAATGGTTCAGTGGTTCAAAGCCCTGGCTGCTATGGCAGAGGACCTGGGTTCAATTCTCAATACCCCCATGGGGCGGTTCAGTTGTCTGAAATTCCAGTCCCATGGGATCCAGTGCCCTATTCCAGCCTCCATGGACATCATATGCACATGGTACACAGACAAACATGCAAGCAAAATACCTGTACACATAAAATAAAAATGAAAACACAACAAAGCATTCTAAGCAGATCTCATTACCACCTCTTAATCTCTTCACTACTCTGAAAGACTAACATCTCAAAGCTCTCTACCAGGTCTCACTTGATCTGGCCCACAGTTCACATTCATGGACAGCATCTTATGCCCTCCACCTCAGCGCTCCCACATCTCAGCACTTCCTTCCATTACTCCAACGTTTCATGCTCCTCCCCAGACTTTGGCTTTTACATATATTCCTGACTCAATTCTGAAAAAACATGCCACAACCCACTCACCTTCAGTCAACTCCCACTTATGTTTTAGAATCTATCACAAATGTCATTCAAAAGGCATAAAAGAATTCTCTCATAACTAGACAAAGTTAAAATTTACAGTATGTATTCACATCAAATTTTAAAGATTTTTATTTGTGTGTGTGTTGCTGGTGATGGAGGTCAGGGCCTTTTTGCAAACTGAACATGGACTCTACTGCTTGATCTGCAATCCCCTGACCCAACTCAAAGCCATAAAGCAAATTTATAATATACATAATTCAGTTTTGTTAACATGGAAGCATTAAAGAAAAAAAAACTGTTCAAAGTGTTCTTCCAAGAAAAAAATATGTGTAATAGTAAGCATTCTAACAATATTTAAAATTTTTTATAGATTCATTAAATTTTATTTTCTAAAAAATACGTTTTCCTGCAGAATACTAAAATATAAAAGAGATCAATCTTAAGATTACATCTTAAAAAATCATCTCTCACTATAAGGTAGTTTTTAGGGATCCCAAGAGAAAAAAAAATGTGATAGGTGACCCATAAACAGAACACTTAGCACCCAAGTTAAAAAGAGCAAAGTGTTGGGCTGGAGAGATGGCTCAGAGGTTAAGAGCACTGACTGCTCTTCCAGAGGTCCTGAGTTCAATTCCCAGCAACCACATGATGGCTCACAACCATCTGTAATGAGATCTGGTGCCCTCTTCTGGCCTGCAGACAGACATACATGCAGACAGAACATTGTATACTAAATAAATAAATCTTTAAAAAAAAAAAAAAAAAAAAAAAAGAGCAAAGTGTGGCAACAGCTAATTAAAAAAAAAATCATAAAATTAAAGCTTAGAGCATCTATGCAATTACTTAAAGAATAAAAGAAAAATGCTTGTAATACGACCAAATTTAAAAGTCAAGATGAAAATTTGGTTTTCACAATAGGATTTAAAAATCACATGCATTTATAACCATTAGATAGATGTTTATATAAGCCTTTGATTCTGGTACTCTTTGGGGGAGGCTGAAGGTATTATTTTTTAACTTTAAAAATATTCTTACAAAAACTTTACTTCCTTTTGAAATGGTAAATCTTCACTTATTAGGTCTATCACTTCAAACGGTTTTTGTTCATGAAAGTGTATGTGAGAGAAGAATAAATTAAAAGGCTTCATTGGTTTGCTTTCCTATCTCTAACACAGAGATTTTTAGGTTTAAAATTTCTCCTACACATATCAGTGATTTAGCAATTTGATAATCCACTATTTTCTCTTAGGAAGTTAAAGAAATGCTTAACCAGATAATGCAATAACAAAGAGAAGGTAAAACTTAAAAATGTATTAATATATTAATTCAGGGCAATAAAAGTAACCCCCATTTTCATGGGTAAAAGACAACAGGAAAGATAAGTTTTACAAGTTTCCTCTCCAAAACAGAGGCAGATGCAGAAGTTGCTTGTACAGATCACGGGCCACGGCCCCTGTCCACTGAGGGCACGTGGTCACCGCCATTGCCCTCTTTGCCCACTTGGAAGGTGCGAAGCTGTTCTATGAAGCCGGGGTTTGGACATACGGATGGCCTTGCATCTTTCACCAACGAGTAAGCACTGGTGAATTCGATTTCTTCAGAACTCATCAGGAAGCCAATGACAATCGCAGCAGCCCTGGAAACCCCTGCGTTACAGTGAACAAGAACCACGCCATCCTGAAATGACATCAAACAAAATCCACGTTACTCTCCTGAGAAAGGTTATTAAATCAATTACACATTCTTAGCAGACTCAAAACTATAAAGAAAAAAGTTCATCTTGTCTATTTATTTCACAGAATAAATTTCACCACATAAACTGAGGAAACTCAGTTTATGTGGTGAAATTTATTTCCCCACATATGCTCTTCCCCAGGACTGAAATGTTCTGATAATGTGGTTGGAGTTCGCAAACGGCATCTTTAACAGGACTCAAATGATCCAGCCAAGTACACAGAAAAACCTAGCAACTTACCAGCACATGTATATAAACAACTGGTGTCCCTGGCTTGGAATACTAAGTACAAAATCACTGGCAAGGAAACAAATGATGCTGTTGGGACTATTATTCTGTAAGGAAGTAAATTACAAATATTCTTAACTGATCGGTTAGTAAATGATGGCATGAACAACTTACAACATCATGAAATGGAAAAGGTAATAATTATATACCAGCAGTGAGGTCAATAAATGAAAACTTCTCAGGTAACTCGTAAATGATACTTTACCAGTGAAATGGACACAATGCAGGATGGATGCTGGTTTGGGCAATATTGCATTAATAATGAATGCCATAGATCCAAGAGATCAACACTGATACAGCTTGGCCTATTGCAGGCTTTTAAAAAGTTAATGATCTGTAGTGAATGGAGCACACACCACAGAATTAAACATTTCAGTAGCTTCATTTTTCCATCTTCATCGGGTACAACACAGGAAAGGGACAGGAGGGGACCATATTACTAGAAACCCTAGTCCCCAGGCACACACATTACACTACTGTTGTTATGGGCCATTGGACTATTTTAGGTTGGCAAGGCAGCTTCCTCACATCTGTGTATCTGTGATAAAATTACTTTCTTGAGGCACCGTATTCAATCTGCAAGTCTATCTCTTTTCAAGAGTGATTAGCAACAACTTTAATATTTTGAAATTTCTCACATCAACAAGTCTGCTTCAAGTGTTTTCTTACAGGTGTCTATGATTCATTTTTGAGCTTTGTTTCTGCACAAGGAAAGTAAAATAATATTCACTATATACATCTATACATCATGAACTTTTCCTACTCTAAAAAATTATTTTTATTTTTAAAAATTATATATATGGGGAGGGGTGCATGTGTGGGTTTATGCACATGTGGGTAGAGTGCCCATGGAGGCCAGCTCCCCTGGAGCTGGAGTTACAGATGTGAGCTGCCTGGGTACTGGGAACAAATTTTGGTCCTCCAGGAATAAGTGCTCTTAAATGCTGGGCAGTCTCTCCAGCCCCTCTCATTTTGTTCTCTGAGGGATTTCCTCTTCATTTTGCAGTACTAATAATTAAATCTATAGCTCTACACACACTAGGCAAGCACTCTATCCCCATTTTTTTTTAACTTTTAATTTTAAGACAGGTTCTCATTAAGTAACCCAGGATTCTAAACTCACCTGGTACTTTTCAGTCTTCCTGCCTCAACCTATTTTTTTTTCCACTTTGTACCGACAGCTTGTTTTGTTTTGTTTTTAGAGACAGGGTTTCTCTGTGTAGCCTTGGCTGTCCTGGCACTCGCTCTGTAGACCAGGCTGACCTCGAACTCATAGAGAGCCATCTGCCTCTGTCTCTAAGTTTTGGAATTAGAGACATGACTCACCACCCAACAGTTGAATTTTTATGACTTAAAATGTTTAAAAATTTTATAACAACTTGAAAATTATTTATATTACTTAGTTCAAAAAAAATCTCTAGATCTAAGTTTTACCTGATTTACAATGTTAATATTTTCTTTCACTATTGTATATAACTACTTTTCTTTTTTTATAGATTTACTTACTTTATGTGTATGCATGTGTACCCTGTCTATGGGGTGCCCTCGGAGGGCAAAAGAAGGTGTTAGATTCTGTGCTGACTGGTCTTATGTCAACTTGACACAAGCTAGAGTTATCTGAAAGGAGGGAACCTCAATTGAGAAAACACCTACATAAGATCTGGCTGTAAGGTATTTTCTTAATTAGTGATTGATGGGGGAAGCCCAGCCCATTGTGGATTGTGCTATCCCTGGGCTGGTGGTCCTGGAGCCTATAAGAAGCAGGCGGAGCAAGCCATGATGAGCAAGCTAGTAAGCAGCACCCCTCCATTGCCTCTGCATCAGCTCCTGCCTCTATATTCCTATCCTGTTTGAGTTGCTGTCCTGACTTCCTTTGATGAGGAACAGATATGGAAGTGTAAGCCAAATAAACCCTTCCTCCCCAACCTGCTTTTTTTTGTTTGGTCATGGTGTTTTGTCACAGCAATAGAAACAGATTCCCTGGAACTGGAGTGACAGATGGTTATGAGCTGCCATGTGGGTGCTAGGAAACGAATCTGGGCCCTCTGCAGGAAACAAGTACTCTTAATGGCTAAGTCCCACAACATTCCAACATGGAGTGGGGGAGTGACTCACGAAGTCTTAACCCTACTTGAGGAGCTGCTGACAGTCAGCAGGTGCTAGGGTAGGGAGGGGTCAGTTTTCTTTCTAGGTGTGGTCTCGGGTAGGTTGACCGTGCTCCAGTGGGTGGTCTATGTCTACATGCATATGGGCAGCATTACTTAAACTAACTGAGAGGGGGATGCGGGAGGATCTTGGAGGAGTTGGAGGGAAAGCGTGGAAGGGGATGGGTGTATGATTAAAATACAATGTATCCATGTGTAAAATTCTTAAAGAAAAAATTTAAATATATTAAAAATCAAATCAAATCAAATAATGAAACACTTCCAATTTTTTTGGTAGTCAGCCTCTGACAATCAGTGAAGTGAGATTCTGGTGTAACTTCCTTATGATGCTGAGGTCTCATAGCAAGCTTCCAGCAGCACAGGTCACTTAGGTAGCACTCATGGCTGATCGGTCATGGTGCTGTGCTTTGAATACATTTTGAGCATGTCCCCTAGAGGCTCATGGTTTTGAAGCTCAGGATCATGTTGTAAGATTAGGAGATGGCGGGACTCAGGGATGTACTCCTGGAAGGGATGTACTCCTAGTCGAAGAGTTCCCATGGGACTCCCGATTAGTTCTTGGGGGAAGAGATTATTATATAAGCTGCACCCACCATCCTGCCTGGGGATCTGATATCGCTACTATAAACAAGTCTACGAGTGTGAATTCTCTGATACTGTTCTTTATCAAAAATGTAATACATTCCATTATATATAATAACTAAAGGAATTAATTAGAAAACTATAAACTTAATTACCATTAAAATGTAAAACAGAATTACTTATTGACAAAAATAATTTCAAGATACAACTTTAGGTAATAGCCATCCTAGAAGTCCTGCCTATCAGAATGTTGACATAGGTCAAAGTTAATATTGAAATAACATCTTGTGTTGGTCCTCTCAAGTCACAAAACCAGCAGATAGTTTCTGATCAGGATTTTATATAATCTCAGGACAGCAATATGCATTCTGCCTTAAAATTCTATGGTTCAAAATGCACAGTGGCCAGAGCTACAGCTCCACTGGTAGAGTACGTGCCTGATATGAACAAGGCCCCAGGTTCCATCCCCAGTAAACATTAAAACAGGTAATGCACACCTGTAAATCTAGTAGGAGGGTGGTAGAGGCCGGAAGATCAAAAGTTCAGGATCATCCTTGGCTACACGACAAGTCTGAGGCTTCGCCTAGGCTCTACAAGACCCTGCCTCCATAAATAAATAAATAAGTATTTTTTTTAAATGCACAGCTACACAATCTCTGTGCCTTAGTCATTGAAATGAATGAATATTCATCATCACAAATGCACTGACAAGACGAGAGCAGACTGTACCCTTTGGTCCATCTGGTTTCTGACAAATCAGTCAGGATGTAGGTGCTAATACAGTCCCAGAGGGAATTTAACTACATATTTGCGCAGGAAAGCTCAGTAATCGAGGGAGTTTATCTCCCAGTGTTTCTTGGTAAGAACTCAGAAGAAACAAAACTAAATGAATATGAAAAGTAAACTTCTCATTAAGAAAAAAAAAACCAATTAGAGAACCAAAAACATGAAGGATTTAATTAGTAATACTGGAGGGAAATTTTCATAGTGGCTCTTCACAAATTCATTAACATGTACAAAGACTGGGAGGTGGCCCATTTTCGAATTTCTATTCCTGAAGAACTGTATCAAAATAAAACTCACCTTCAGTTTTGCTTGCTCAATAAATTCAAAACATTCTGGAAAATAAGACAGGATATTGGTTTCAGGGACATCCAATATAGAAATGGTCTTATATGTAAATTCACTGAGAAAAGCATTTTCAACTCCATATGCAACATTGAGAATATGAGTCACCTTAAAGGAAAGAAAAAAAAAAAGATGATTTTTAAGTTCTATGAGTTAGATGCTCTAAAAGCAGGCTGTAATGTTAACTTCTGGAATAAGAATAATGAAGATGTAACGACTCACTGAATCTTCTCTGCCTCATCCCACAACAACAATGCTCTTTTATAATGCATGCATGGCCCTCTTACTGTTCTCCTACTCCTTGGAGATCGCCTCCCTCCCTGCACTAGAAACACTATGAAAATACAGACCAGGTTGAACTTAACTATCATAAGAACTTAGTAAAAATGACCTTAGCAGAAAGTACTTAAAATATCTACTGAAAAAAAAAAACCAACTCAGTGAATATCCATATAAAATTTCAGTGACCAAAGAGTGGTTTTTGTTTGTTTGATTGGTTTGTTTTTTTTTTTATTGCAATGAACCACAGGTGGTGGAGCTGATAAGGGACACAGCCAAGAAGGCTTTTTCTAAAAAGCTGAACTCTACCACTCAGTGAGGGAACTGTTTATCAATGCTGGCCTTGGGATGAGATGCCCTTTGCAATAGGGATAGGGATAGTTAAGAATACCTTCACTGAGGACTTCATATTTACCAGGCACATAGGTTGTCTCAGGTCTCTTACTTAGGCATTATTATTTTCCTTGCAAATCAAATTTTGTTTCTAACTGGCTCTGAAATCAAAACATTGTAAAAAGGAAAGATGAAAATGCTTGCTTGTCTCTACTCCATTTTTTCTACTCTTCAGCAATCATGTTCGCTGCTTTTCTTTCATATTCTTTTGGGGCTTCCTTATGCAAATATTTTATTTATTGATCTAGCACTCAATGACTATCTTACTAATAATACAACCACTATTACACATTTTACTTATTAGAATTAAATCCATACAGAAATTTCCTTATGGTCCTCCACAAGAGAATTTCCACCAATTACAACACTTGACCAAAGTTCTAAGGCAAGGCTTTGAAAATGCCACCCACTTAAACTAATCATGTGGTTCACAACATCCTTATATTTTTCTAGAAACTCTCCATCACACAACTTGCTTTGGCTTCACTCCCCTAGGCATTATTAAGAGGGTGACTCCGCAGAGAGGAAGCAGGATCTGATAGAGATGCCCTTGTTTCATCCCCCAAACAGTGAAGCAGAAAGAGGACAAGGGTGCCATTAAGAGAGGTGATTAAAAAAAAAAACAAAAAACAACCACTTGCCTATGCAAAGGCTTTTCATTTGCCATATTACCCTGAATAACACTAATTTGTTAGTGGAAATGAGACTGGAACTTTCAATAGCTTTGTTAACTGTTGATGTGCAAGGGCTCCTGGTATGAGATCCGGGATTAAACAGACGCCAGATTAAACACAGGTCAGTAAATTAACAAGCAACCCTGTCAGACTAGCTAAGGAATTCATTATTTGTTATTTTCCTTTGGGAAATAACTGTAAGTATTTATTACGTAACATTTTTATCCTTGACTCAATCAATATTTTTTTTTTCTCAGAGCGATGGATGACAAACAGAAAAGAATAAAGTCTTTATCTTCTCAAAGTCCTTGTGGTAATAATATAAGTGGTGAGAGCTAAGAGGATAATGAAGTGGACCCTAACGGGAGGAAGAGATTACTCAATGTACCACCTGCCTCGACCCCACTCCCCAGCCTCGTGTGTGGGGGCAGCCATACACAGAGCTAATCTTTTGGACTCTATGCTCTACCCCATCTGTGCCAGTCTTAGTTGCCATGAGGTTTCAGTGATGTGTCGCACTCTCAGAGAAATCAGCTCACCCAGGGTGCCCTACCAATCCACCCAGGGTGCCCTCTCACTGCCTTGTTTGATTCAGAGAAGATAATCTTATATGAAATCTTCACATAGCAACCTGCACATCTCCCCATCAGCTCTCACCATCTTACCTACACCAGCACCTGCCCTTTCTTTCTGCTTTATTTCAATAAATGATACATTCCTACACCCTTCCCAGTATGTGCACCTGGAACCACTCTATGACTTCCAGATGTTTCTCTAGTGACTTTCCTCAATCTTCTATTTGCCCCTCTAACATGAGCCTTAAAACATTCTCAACACTTCCTAAGCCCAACCCATTACCTCCTCTCCTGGCAGCACATTCCCTCTACTTCTCAGTCTTCTGAAATCTGGCTTATCAATTTCTCTTACTTGCTGTTCCATGGCTGTGAAGAGACACCATGACTAAGGCACCTCTTAAAAGCCATTTAGTTGGAGGCTTGCTTGCAGTTTCAGAAGGTTAGTCCATGATCATCATGGCAGGAAGCATGGCAGCAGCCAGCCAGACATGGCACTGGAGCAGTAGCTGAGAGCTCACAATCTGATCCACAAGTTGCAGGAAGAAAGAAGGGGTGAGACTGTGCCTGGCATGGGCTTTTGAAACCTCAAAGCCCACCCCTAGTGAGATACCTCCTCCCATAAGGCCACACCTCCTAATCCTTCCTACACAGTCCACCAACTAGGAACTCCCTTCTCCCTATAACTAAGCAACCAATTGTGCGAATTTGGGGCTCTCAGAATACCTCAGATCTGCCACTTCTCTTTACCCCTCTGAAATCTAGTCTAAGCCACTATCAACTTCTCTCAGAGTACCAAACTTCATAGTTGGTCTCCCCATCTCTAGCGCAAACAATCCTCCGATCTATTTCCCACACTGCTTCTAATGAGAAATCTTTTAAAAATACACATTTAGTCCTGTTATTTCACTAGGCAAAACCTGTCATTGGCTCTCACTATGTTTTGGATCATGTCTAAACAACTGACTCTGGTTTACATGGCCTTTCACAATCTGTTTCATGCTTACCTCTCTTGCTCATAGCTTGGTACCCTTTGTTCTCACACTATTTTCTGAACTCCATTTCTGTCCCTGAAAGCATCAACCTTCCTTTCCTCTGGCTTTGGGATCTGTACACACACCATCTCTTCTATCTGAATCCTCTTATGGAGCAAAATTTTAGTATTACCTCTACCAAGAAGCTTGTCCTTAGTTCCCCCAGTCTCAAACCAAACAAACAGAGTTAAGGGTATCATCATTCTATACTTTCCTACTGAACCATACAATATACCATTCTATAGTTTTTCAATATCTTTGGGCACATTCAGAGCATAAGCTTCAAGTGAACAGGAATCTTGATGCTCCTCAAACCATTCAACATGAGCTGAAACCATGCTTGATATGATAGCAAACAGCTAACAATTACTTTGAGGAAATACTGAAAACAAGTAACAAATCCTATCAGTTGTATGAAAGTAGTTGGTAAGAAACAGTATTAGGGAAGACTGGTATATGAACTAGGACTCAAGAATGGGTGGATCTTTGACAAGCAGAGGTGAGGGAAAGTCTGTCCCCTATAGAACTGCTTAAGCATAGGCAAGAAATTGATAAAGGTTCAATTTGAACAAGAGAGTCCTCTTAACTAGAAGAGGTGATAGTCCATCAACCAGAAGGACCACTCAATTTAAACTAACTTATATCACTAACACATGCTTTTCATTTGATCAGATATAACTTGCCAAAAGGGAACCTCTCCAAATTTAGGGTTGGTGAAGGGTTTTGTTTTTGTTTTTCAGGAAAATGAAGGGATCCAGCTAAGGAATCTGAAGAACACTGAACAAATGAGAAATCCAAAGAAAAAGGACAAATCACACAGAAAAAAATGCTCCATGAAAAAGATTTTCTGCAGTGAACCACGACTATGCCTAACAGTCTCCAAAAAGATGATGGGAGCCCACAATGACAATTCCACATGGACTATGATAATGCCATCAAGCTAACAACTACCACCAAAAGACAGGTTTTGGACTATAAACTGCTTAAGACAATATTGAGATGGCTAGCTGAGATGATACAGCCTCACAGACTACTCCAATCAGGACTTGACCATAATCTTAAATTTTCTTTGTGTCCCCATAAGACTACCAGCACACCCAATCATCAGGAACTAGCCTAGAAAACTACACACACATTCCCAAATAAATGGATTATGGATGTTTGTCTTTGCTTAGGGGTTGGTTAAAAATTGTTATTGGTCATAGTTAGTCTCTTTCTAAAAAAAAAAAAAAAGAAGATATAGATAAGAGGTAGATTATTGAATCTACTCTAAAAAAATAGAAATGATAAGATAAAAGGGTAGATTATTGAATCTACTCTGAAAAGAAAAAAAGGAGAATGTGGATATGATAAGATAAAAAGGTAGATTATTGAATCTATGTTTAAAAAGCAACTAATAGTTTTAAATATTTTGCATTGGATTGGATTTTTGTATATTGTATACAAATTTTGTAAATTGATACAAATTTGAGATTATTTTTGTTACAACATACTGTACATACATTTCTAATCTTGTTCAAGGCATTGTACCTATACAGCTCATTTAACAATGTAATGCAAATTTCTAGTCCTTAAAAGTTATTACCAACTAATTTGGATATAAAGAAATGAAAGTTAGTGGTTAGTTATTACAATTGAACTTGTAGTCAGATTAGGTATGTTTTCAAGGTCAAATATATATAATATATATATATAAAATATATATATATATTATATATATATTAGATAGACAGGTCATCTTCAAATACTTCAGAGATCTATGGAATATGGTATTTCAGATGTTTTAATAACATAGATTCTTTTTTTTTTTTTAATGACAATGAGACATGTCTGCTCCTGGCAGCACCAATCTACTTCAGAGAAGATGATGGGCATCAAAGAAACTCCATATGGAGTTTACTTTCTTTGTGGCAAAAGTTAGTCACTGGGCAAGAAAGTGCCCTCGCATCAACTGCTGACAGTGTGCTGTCCAAATGGACAAGCAGGACACAAAAGAAAGGACTGCTGAACTTTGCCAAGACAAGGTAGGAAGGCCCTTTAGAAAATCCTGCTTCACAGATGAATCTGTCAGATATGCTAGGCTTGTAGGCCAAAGATGGATGTCCCAACGTTGCAGAGGAATCTTGGGCGACTGTTCGGGTAGCCAGCTGTTTCTATCATTTCTCACATTTTTGGGAAGTCGCTTGTTTGCACTTCCTGCTTACTTAGGTAATATTATTTCTTTCTTGGGTCTCTGAGGGAGTTTAAGACTAGATAGTTATAGTTTTCCTTGTTAACAAATTCAGAAAAGAAACTCACTAAAGAGGTGCAAAGTGTATAAATTTGAAAGACATCAAAAGATAGTATTCAGTTGTTAATATAAATTAGGAGAGAAGTGAATTAGGTACAATATTTTGGACTCACCAAAATAGGATAGATCGTAGAGTATTCTCTCTGTATTTGTCAAATGTTTACAGACTGGACATTGTTAATGTAATTCTTGACTGTATATACTGTATATACTTATTGTACTTATTTTATATACTTCTTCTTATATTAGTTATAACCTATTATTTTAGATAAAAAAGGGGAAATGCCGTGATATATTGAGTACCCTAATAAATTTGTCTGAAGATCAGAGAACAGAACAAGCCACCAGATTAAACATAGAAGCCAGGCAGTGCTGGCACACACCTTTAATCCTAGCACTTGGGAGGCAGAGATCCATGGACTACTTGAGATTGACTCAGTCTAGGAGAGAAACAGAGGCAAGCAGTGGTGGCACACACCTTTAATCCCAATACTTGGGAGTCACACGCCTTTAATCCCAGTACTAGGAAAGTTGAGACAGGAAACGATATGGGTGGGCGGAGAAAGGTATACAAGGCATGAGGAGACAGGAACTAAAGTCTTTTAGTTGAGCAAAGCTGTTCAGGCTGAGGAATCCTAGAGGTAAGAGGTGGTTAGTTCCTTTATCTCTCTGATGTTTCAGCATTCACCCCAATATCAGGCTCCAGGGTTTTTTGGTTTTTTGTTTTATCATAAGACCATTTAACATTCAAGCAACACTTCCAGGGTAAGTTCAGGAGGTTGTGTGAAGGAATCTGAGAAGGATGTGAAACTAGAAAGTTGGGGTACAGAGCTGTATATTTAAATCAGGTACAATGATTTTGGCAATGCTATTAAAATGATAGCCCAAATGATACAGATTAAACTGAATGATGCAAAGGTTGGAGCAATACAGTCTTTCCCATGTAATGGGAGAATGGACATTCCTGTATGTGGTGCCAGACCTGAAACGTCCATTTACTTCATTTACCTTGTGCTTTCTCAGTAGCTCCAGATCATGAGCAGCATCCTGTGACCCTGAGGAAATAAATCATATTATCTTGAATACAAATACAATCATTCTGAATTTTCATGTGAATTTTGTGTAAGGATTCTCTTTAAAACCAAACAGAAGGGGGAAAAAATCAATGTGGGAGGACATCAGTTCAATTTTTGGAAGGGAAATTTGGTAATATTCACCATGAAAATTTATCTTTTATGTCTATGGACTTTCCCATTTTGAATAATCTATACTAAAATTATAGATGTTGAGGTGATTACTTCTGAGAATGTTCAACATACAACAAATAAAAACAAAACCAGCAAGCAAAAAACTCTAAGTCCAATATAGGTGCTGAGATAAAAAAAAAAAAAAAAGATGGTACAATTACATAGTGAAATCTGTACAGCAATATGTACCACTAGAAATAAAAATTAAAATAGGTAAGGCATGGAACACCTATTCTCAGTGTGTCAGGAAATAAAAATATGCTACAGGGGCTTGGAAGATGGATGAATGGGTGGAGTACTTGCTAACACAGGACCTGAGTTAGATCTCTAATACCCACATAGAATCCAGGCATGGTGTGAAATACACAATAAAAAACAAAAATATATATAGGCTTAAAAATAAAAGCACATGGAACAGAACATTAAATGTGGGGTTATAGGTGATTTTTTTTCTTATATGAATTTTATTGTTTATAATAAACACCTCATTCTTTTATAAAAGAAAAAAAAGGTATTAAGAAAGTCAGACACCCATAGAGTAGTAGCTTTGAGGTCCACAGGCTCCCACCCACACTGCATACCACTAGTGCTGTACCTTTCACAGTCTCTCTCTGTTGAAGACAGCTCTCTACTACCCCACATTTGGAGATGTTGATAAGCAAATTCTTATCTGAGAATGGCCAGTTAACATAGAGCAAGCTTCACAAATGATCAAACAGGACATTTACAATGAAGGAGTCCAAGAATATTACTTTCCTGTGGTTCTATCTCCATTATCAAAGCTCTCCCCCTCCCCTTCCATATCTGAGGAATCAGCCAGCTTCCCTTATATGATTTCTGGTGACTGAGGGGCCACAAGTACACAGTGAGTCCAAGCCGAGAGGTTCCTTACTAACCACACCTTCTGCTTCTTTCTACTTGGAAGTTGAACTTCCAAAATATGGACATTTAGTAAGTATAGATGGTGGGTATAGAAATTGTCTGTTCTCTCCTCTTTCTGTAACTTTCTGCCAGTTTGAAAAACTTCTTGACTAAAAGGTAATTCTCAGTTTTCAAATATAGGAAGTCTTAGCCATGTTGGGGTTGGGGAACAGGTTCAGATAAATTAATTTTATTTTAATAGTTTAGTGAACATACCATCTTTTAACTAATTATTCTGATCTGTTTGTATTTTAAAATAGTAAAAACTGCAACATAGCTTAAATGAAATTCTTCCCCTTTTTCACCCCACACTGTGACTGCCTTGGTAACCTCCCCGCGGCTCCTCTCTCTCTCCTCTCTGTCTTCTAAACCTGAAACACTCAGGTCAGGTTGATTCTATTTCAGAGTTGGTTGGTGTCTCTTCTAAGTGACTTCCAAATTATAACAACATTGACATAAACATTCTGTGTGTTTGTGGTGTTGAGGCAAGTACTGTATTGCCGAGTCTCACTCTGCTGCTCAAGCTGCCCTCACTCTGTAGCCCAGGCAGGCCTTGAACTAGTTATTATCCTGCCTCGGCTTCTGGAACAGCTACCATTGCAGCTAATTAGGATTCTGTTTTTAATGTATTTACTTATTTATTCATTTACTTTTTATGTTTTCTACCTACTGTGCGTGTGTAAGAGAAACAGACAGAGAGGGGGCGAGAAGGGGAGAGAAAGAAACAGAGACAAAGGACAAAGATAGAGTGTGTGAGTGACTATGGAGGTCAGAAAAAGCTTTAGGAGGTCAAATAACTGAAAAGTACTCATATACATATTATCATTCTTGGATACAGTGAACAAGATCTGAACCAAGATGGTTTGGGGGCCAGAGAGATGGATCAGTGGTTGAGAACACTTGTTGCTCTTGCAGAGGACCAAGGTTCAGTTCTCAGCACCCACACTGTGGTTCACAACCATTCTTAACTCCAGTTCGAGGGACTCTGCTGACTTCTTCTGATCTCTGAGGTTACCATGCATGCACATGCACAGGGTGGACATGTACACATGCATGCAACACATGTACATAAAATAAATAAACTAAAAAATATTTTAAGCAGATAGCTTTTGGAGGTCTAGAGAGAATAAATGAATTGCACCACCTAATGTAAGTCTAACTGCAAACAACATAGTATAGTGATAGAGGGTAAGAGTCAGTCAGACTTGGACTTGATGCCCAACTCTGCTATTTACTCAGTCTGTTACCTATGCAAATTACTTACCAGATCCTAAAGCCCAGTCCCCATTTGTAACATGAAGATAATCCCTACTTGGAGATCTTTAAAAGAATCATATGCTGTGCATGTTTCATATTGTGGGTATGTCTAACTCCTGGTTCTGTGTCCAAGTGTTAATTTCTCATTCATAAATGCAAAATAATGCAGACCCATGGGATAGGCTGGAAACTAAAGAACACCATGCCAGATCAACAAGATAACAAGTGAGTTTTCTTATATGCTTTCTTCTTTTGCTATTTGTGGGCCATGCTTGTATAAAAATTCAGTGTTTCCATATCACAAGATATAAGCCATCATCAGACTCATAGCTGTAAAACTTAAGCTTTGCTCTCAACACACCAAAGACAGACACCATGAGCAGATGCTCTGGGAAGCACGCTTTCAACGTCCTTTCACCAGCCAAGGAATCAGTTGCTTTTTTTTTTTTTTTTTTTTTTTTTTTGCATTTTTAAAGGATACCGTCTTTTTATAATACAAGAAAACACAGCATCCCATTATCCTCCAGAAAAACTTAGAAAAATAGGGAGAACATTTCTTCTAAAATTCAATAAGCAGGTGTCAAAATGATAAATGCTGTGGTGGAAGAAAGGTCCCTATTTTATTCCTAACCTAAAAACGTAAACATTTTAACTTTTCATCAGATAGCTGATAATACTATTGTGCACAGGGGGATTATTTTGCATAGAGGAGGCTGATGGCAAAGGAATCCAGTTAAAGGGACTCCACAACGCAGTGGCAAGTCAGTCTACTCACCCAGAAGCAACCAGGGCTTAATAACGCCAACTTGCAGGTCCAAGCTAAGGTCCTGCACATAGCCACAACCACCCCCACCGCTGGGCTCTGCTTCCACAACATGAACTGTGGCATCTTTCCACGTTTCTATCATTTTCTTTCCAGTCAGCGTGGTCACCCTGGTGCACTGCTTCCTGAGATTGTTCCGGGAGAATGCTTTGATTTCTTGGTTCAGGGAGTGCATTACATGAGCGGAGGAGGAAAAGCAGCAAGCACAAAGAAACACGGCACTCACTGCGCGTCCCTAACTGAAGCGGGATCCTGCAGGTGACAACCGCACCACTTACAGAGTAGCCCAACCTTGCCGTGCTGAGCGAGCGCACCGTTGTAAGGCGAGATCTGATTGGCCACTAAGAAACAGGGGCCAATTGGATGCTGCTTCTCCTCTGCTGACGGAAGTTCTGTTTCTTCCGGGTCCATTCAGCAGCAACTCTGCCGGCTTGTCTTTAGTGTTTAATCCCAGCTTTCCTTTGGATGCGGGATGATCATTTCTAAGACTCACTTGGAGAGAGCTGTCGTCTCCTGGCTCTCCAAGGGCAGTGTTTTCTGGAAATGTTCGGCTGCTTAGCTGCTGAACCACGGACTCTTCCTGTGGCTCACTGGCCTAAAGGGGCTCCAGTCGCCTCCAGGGGCTGCTCCGCGTGTGTCCTCACTTTTTCCTCTCTGCTGTTACCCCTAGGAGAAACGTTGACTAGATAAAAACCACTAAGTATATTAGTGAGGCTCCGACTGAAATACAATGTAAATAAAAGGTCGTTTTAAATATGTTTCTATAGATTAGCAAGGCTTAAAATTTGTGTATTCTGACTTTCCACGCCTTATACAGAAAGCATGACAGCAATTCTAGACGTAGTTGGGAAAAATTAAGTATACAAACAGAAGAATGGAATGACGATTCTGCCTGCAAAAGGTGATTTGTTTTGCAAACAAAACTGCAAGATTTCCTCAACTGAAAATTTACTTATTAACCCTTACTAAATTGCAATTTTAAGATAATTTGAGTACAATGTATAAAGTTAAGACTTAGAAAGATGTATGCTCCAGCGTTACATATGAACCTTTTTTTTTCTTTTGAAACTTTCTGACATTAAAGTAAGTTTATGGGCTGAATTTTTGTGTTCCTTCAAAATGAGTTGGAATTATAGCCTCAAGTGTCCTGATATTTGGAGATAGGACCTCTGGGAGGATAATTACTATTATATTAAAACATATGGCAACATTAATGGTTTCATGAAAAGGGAAGAGAACTCTTCCTTCCCTCATCCTGTACCAGGTAAAGGAGGATAAAGGAAGTTGGGAGAAGTGGGTGTCTGTAAGCCAGGAAATGGGAACACACCAGGAACCTTGCATAGGCCAGCACCTCGATTTTGTATTTCTTGACCTCCAAACCACAATAAGTAAATTTCTCTTGCTTACACTACACAGTTTATAGTTTTTTGTTATGGTAGCCTGAGAGAGGAACCGAAAATTTCTCCTTCAAATGGAGTTACCTGCTCACAACACCTAGTGGGAACTCCAGAGTAAACTGTAAATTGTTTGCATCCTTTAGTTGATCACAGGCGCATCAAAACCAACTCTAACCGTAAATCAACCCATGTATTTATCTAACAATGAGCACTTACTGCACACTGCATTCTGCTAAACTTTTACACACTTAGTGTTATGCATACGGCTCATAACAATAATTTAGACATGTCATTTTACTTCACCACAAGCTTAATATATATGTTATATATAATAAATACATATTTATGTAAGTCCACAGTATTACAACTGGGGAAACTTGGATTCAGGGAGAATATTTCACAGCTAAGTTTTGAACCACAAATAAAACCTGAGTTCAGTGCCTCAGTTTTTTGTTTCTGTTTTTTTGTGGTTGTTGTTTTTTTTTGGTTTGTTTTTTTTTTTTTTTTTTCCGAGGTTTCTCTGTATAACAGCCCTGGAGTGCTAGGATTAAAGGCATGATTCTGTCCAGCTTCTTCCTTACTATAGAATGCTGCTCTGCCCCTCAAAATAACAGTAATTGTATTGACAAGTATTAATTGAACACCAACTATGCGCCAGGTGCTTCATGGATTAAACACATTAGTGATTAATGCTGAGTCACCAATGGTGCATCCATGTCACATTAAGAAAAGAAATAAATGCACTTCCTCTTGGGGTTGTTTAACCAAGAATGGGCCCAGACTTTCTCTACTTCATGTTCCCTGAGTCTTCCATCCTGTCCAAATCTGTGCCTGCCTGGAGGCTGTCTGTGACTCCGTCCCTTTATCTGTGTCTGTTATCTGCCTGTGTCTGTTCCTGTACCTGTATCTGTCTATATCTGTGACAGTCCCTGTGAGTCTGTCTGTTGTCTGTGTGTCTGTCCCTGTGTGTCTATCTGTTGTCTGACTGTGTGTCTATGTGTTCAATCTGTGTGTCTATCTTTTTTGAACATCACAGTAAGTATCACATGGGGAAGGAATGATATACTTTCTAGAAATGTGTAACTCTAAAGGACAGTATGTGGTTGGCCTCAGTTGTCATAAAGTCTGTATAATCACTTGACTTCTGTCTGCCCAGTCTTGCTTCCTTTCTCCTGATCCTAGGAACGCTTAAAAAAAGATTTATATTATTTATTTTATGTTCATAGGTGTTTTGCCTGCATGTGTGTCTGTGCACAGCATGCACAGAGTGCTGGCAGGTGTCAGAATAGGGTACCACATCCCTGGGAACTGGAGTTACAAGTCAACTGCACTGTGGATGCTGGGAATTGAATCTGGGTTCTCCTGTAGTTAGTGCTCTTAAACATTAAGCCATCTCCAGCTACCCCCAAAAGCACTTTTAAAAGAATTGAATGCTAACTATACCTCAATCTGCTTCAAATGAAACTGAATTGAAAAGCAATATGTTATTCACTTTGTAGAGGAAAAAAGGCCAGAGCAACAGAATTTGTGAGGAGGTCACTGCCATGGTCAGAAAGTAAAATGACACATCTTAGGCAGCAGAAGAGGAAGTAGCAAGGCATGTTCTAGATACACATGGTCCTCAACTTAAGATGAAACTCTATCCCCAAACCCATCGTACGTTAAAATATTGTTAGGTTGGCAATACGTCTGATACACTGATACACCTATTGCATGTTGGAGCATAGTCACACACCCTTAGGGGGACGTTGTTTGTTTGTTTGTTTTCTCCTCCAGATGGTGTGGCTAAATGCCGGCTGGCAGCTTTCACTGCCTCTGCCCAGCATTACAAGACAGCATAGGAACTCACATTGCTGGTCTAGGCAAGGATAAAGTTTCAAAGTACATTTTCCACAGGTAATTATCACCTTTGCATCATCATAAGGTTAAAACACCATAAGTCAAAACATTATAACTAGGGACAGTTTGTACATGGGAATCAAACCACAAGGAACTGATAATAGGATCAACGTAAAGGATATTTGGATAATTCCAAATTATTAGCATGAGCAACTGAGTAATAAATGTGCCATTTATTAATAAAGGATTGTGCTGAAATGAGAAGCAATTCATGATAGGCTTACGATGTGTTCTGGCTAGTCTTATGTCAACTTGACACACAAACTAGAGTTATCTGAAAGGAGAGAACCTCAATTCAGAAAATGCCTCCATAATATCCAGCTGAAAGGCATTTTCTTAATTAGTGATTGATGGGGAGAAAACCCAGCCCATTATGAGTGGTGTCATCCCTGGGCTGGTGGACCTGGGTTCTTACATGAAAGCAGGCTGAGTGCTCTTTTTTGAAGGGAAATGGAGGAGCAGTGGATATAGGGGAGGAGGACTAGGAAGAGGGGGAAGGGAGGTTGTGTTTGGGATGTATTATATCAGAAAAGAATAAAGAAAAGAAATTTTTAAAAAAGCAGGCAAAGGGAATGAGCCAGTAAGCAGCACTCCTCCATGGCCTCTGCATCAGATCCTGCCGCCAGGTTCCTGCCCTGTTTGAGTTGTTGTCCTGACTTCCTTCAACTATGAAGAGTGATGCAAAAGTGTAAGCCAAATAAACCCTTTCCTCCCTAACCTGCTTTTTCATCATGATGTTTTGTCACACCAGTAGAAACCCTAAGACACTATGCTTAATATAACTGTTGTTTGAGTATTGGCGTCCAGTGGGCAACTATTCATAGGAAACTGAACTTGCTAAGAAGGTATCTTCTGAAAAAGTCCATTTTGGAGCTTAAAGATACCATTAAAACTACTGAACTGAATGAGGGGATCTGGTACAGAAGATTGGCAAAGAGGTCCCATATATGGATCCATTCAGGCATCAGAAAAAAATGGGGAGGCCTCAGCAAAGGAGAGATGTGAGGAGAGGTCAGGGAATGAGTGACTAGAGAGAATCCTGAGACTACAAACCAAAAAAAAAAGTGTTCTTGAAACAGTGTGGTCTGTGTTGTCACATGCCAATAAATGCCATCAAGGTGAAGACTGAGACTATTAGAATTAAAATTAAATTATTAGATTTAGATTAGAGCCCCCCTCAATAAAATGGGCACTATGCCCAGCACTGTACTAGCACTATTCCATGTAAGCTGCCAGATAACTCAGAGAGGTAGATACAATGTACTTACAGAAAAAGCTCATTTAATCTGGCTATTAATGGAGTAGCCCTTGATTGAGATTTCTTTGTTGAGTTTTAGTAACAAGGTTAATTTGACACAGCTCTGCAAGTTAAAAATATGTAGACTTCACACATTTTGTAAAGGTCATATAGAATTATTTTTTATATTTTTGTAGCGGCATTCATTCTTGATAATATTGTATCCTCCACAGACTGTCTACAGGCCAATCTGATCTGGTAGGTATCTCAACTGGGACTCCCTTCTCTGAAGATCTAGGTTTTTGTCAAGATCAGGCTAACTAGGGCAGACATCAATATACTGGCCATTCAACATTATCTAGTTTAATGCACCATTTCTCAGAAAAGGAAGTAAGGTCTAAAGGAATAAACCAATTTGCCAAATGTCACATCACTTGTGATCCCAGATCCCTTGATTCAATATATAATGCAGATTCTATTTTATTGAAAATATTTTAAAGGTAAAACTGTTCACAAAGCTAGCCTGGGTGCAGAGGTGTTGGCAAAAGCACTATTCTTGGTCCTGTAGTACTTGCAGGAGAGAAAGAAGCAAAATGCCATGAAAGAAAAGGAGGCATTTCACCCATGGGGTGGCATTGCCTGTTTCCACCAAGATCAGTAAGGGGTCATTCTGGGAGAGGGCTATTCAGGAGCATCATTTAACCTCTGTCTGGGTTGCACATGGTCATGATAACTTTAATGAGAGTATGATCACTTAAAGATTAGGATGAGATCAAAATAGTAACACTCCCTTGTGGAGGGGTGGAGGCTCACAAGGCTCCTCCCTTCCCTGAAATTATATGACGTGAGCATTGACTACGGGGTGGGACCCCTGAGCTGTGCAGCTTTTCATGAGTCATCCAGAGGCCTGGGAGTCCTTCAGTGGTGCATCAGCCTTTGAGTCACCCATGCTTCAGTAACTAACCCCAGTAAACTCACTGATTCACCAAAAGGGACTCAATAGACTCAGTGCCATTTCCATCTGAATTGATCAGATATTTACTTCTTTAGGTCTCCCACCCCAGGAGAAGAAATGAAACATTTGACACCCAAACAGGGATTGGCAGAATCAAAGATGAGAGGTAGAGCATCAC